CGCTCACTCAGAATTTCTGTAAAAATGTTGACATTGTGGCAAAGACAAATAGATGGGATGAAAACCATGCAATTACAGGGAACATTTTTTTCATTAAGATCTCTTTTCATATCATTCCTTGGATGCCTCTAACATAAATGTAATAAAGGTTGCCGGAGGTAAAAAAATGTTTTTTCCATTTTATTTTAGACAAAAAAATATCCTCAGTAACTTTTCTTCAGAGTTAACCGCTGCCGAGTTATAAGTGATTTGAGGTCTGGAAAAACTGAAGTGGCTATTTTCAATATTTAAAAATTCAGTTAAACATTATTATTTGTGAGGTAGTCAACAATACAATTTTTGGGATTTGTTTAAAAACTAACTAAATAAATTTGCACTGGGTTGTCCTCTGGGGAAAAAACTATTGATTCATGTTAAAGCACATCTAATATACGTGATTACGAGGAAAAAAATGAGAAAAAGTTCTTCACAAGAATGCAAGATATTGGCTTTCTAAAAGTGAAAGTTTTTTGAAATCGATATTATGGCCAGCAGATTTAAAAAAAACTGTTCATCAAAATTTGAGGTCATAAAAAAGCGCAGACATAATTGTAATACGATTTGGAATAAATTATTTGGTATGAGAGATAGGCGTTTGGGAAGCGATATACCGTGCAGTCATTACAAGTAAATGCTTCTTGAAGGATGCACACTGGGTTGATTAGAACGCTTTTCCGAAATAGTATTATAAATTTTCTTTTAAATTGCCCCGGCTTTTAAAATATTCATAACTGTGGTGTAAGGATGATGTACCAAGTACTAATTACGTGGAAGTACTGAGTCAATATTCTTGGCCTAGTTTCTTAGATGCTGTTGTTATTGAAAGTTTAAATAAGTCTCTCTAATAGTCCAATATTTGTTTTATCAATTAAAACGTTAATTATAATTATGAAAGGTCAACAAAGTAGGTTGCTGCTAATTAACCAACTTAAAGAGGCTTGTGGCACATCCACCACTTTTGATAATTTATCCGGAAGCGATTGGTGATTTATTTAATTAATAAATTGTTAATTTATGATTTGATCCACTATGAATAAATGCATTGGGAAATTTTACATCTCACCCCAATTGGCAATGAAGTATTGTGATCGCGAAAAATTTCCAAAATGAGATGTTACATGACATGCACATTTCCGTCGGTCTGTCTGTTCGCTAATCCTTTGCCTCTTTCATTTTTGTTTTGGGCGCTAACATATTTATACGCTCCTAATTCCGATAGTTCTACTCACCTATTAGACATTTCCACATCGTCGATAGCAACAAAAATAGGACATAAACCTGTCGTAAGCTACCCGCTACCACTGCCAGTTTACCGATCACAACTCTGATCGCAACATGATCGGATGGTCTGTTCCAGATTGAAATGTTGTCGAGTGGGTAAGGACTTAGGATTGTACGGGTCTGTGTGACTGACTTAGTCCGTTCAATTCCGATGCTGTATACAAGCTCATAGTTAGCTAACTTGTGGTGAACGTATCTTTTGTGAAGTAGGTAATGACAGCGTTGCAAAAATATTGACTCGATAAATGCAAATAGCTTTAGTCATATTTAGCATTTTTTTACTACTCGGATATCTTCTTTATTTAATTTGATTAGACTTTGAAATTTAGCATATCTTATACTTTCCTTAACGTTCAGATAAATCCGAGGCAATGACTGCATCACGGAACAGTGGGAAGTAGAGCGACGCTGACGCTACACGATAGTGTATCATAAAGGTAGATAATGCTGCATACGTCGACACATTACTTTTTCCACTCAAATCTTCCAAATTACCAAGTAACCAGGGAGATGCAAGCTGTCAAAATAATGGGATAAGTACATACAATCTACATCAATAACGTCAATTATAAAATGATGTATTTACAGCCAGTAAATAATTATTAGTAATATTCAAAAATAGATAAAGTGTTTAATAACAGCGTCAATTTTGTGAACAAGAAGCCAAAGAAGCTCAACAAGAAGTCAAAGAAGCTCTACATGAATGAACATACTCATTATATGTCTAGGTTTTTTATTTATTATTATTTGCCTAGGGGGAGAAATGTAACTTCTATTTAGAAGAATGCGGTAAATAATGGCGATTTCTCAGGTTCATAGTGAAAAACATATTGTATATTTGAATACAACCCTTCTACCAGACGTTAACGAGATTACAACGTTAGTTACACAATAAAATTATCTGAACTCACAAATTAGCAAAACTTCATCAGGGCAACACAAAAACTAGAGTGGATTCAAATAGTGTCATGCCTGTTGCCTAGGTACTATAATAGCCGAGTAGTACCACTGCAGCTCCCGCTGCTAGCTGGTCGATGATTGATATGACAAAGGTGCATGGTTCAACGGCCAATTCAAGGTGACTTTCATATACTATCCGCGTCCAATAAGACATTAGACACGTTGCTAGGCCTTAAGACATGGGCGCCCTCAAAGGGTTACTGGTACCCTTGCTTGTCAGAAAAAGCATTTTCCTTTCTTTTTATAGTCCTTTTGGAGTACCTTATCAGTCTCAAACCTCTCTCACATCGGTGGGTGATCGGTGATTTGTCCCTTTTTTACGATAACAGATTTCACTCCTCTAAACTAAATCTTAAAAAACAACCGATTTTTATTTTAAACGATTTTTAATAAATTGATTATATAAATTAGACATTTTAACCGAATTCTGTAAGCAACGTGAAGTATGAAAATACAGGTTAGGACAGTTCTTAATTTGAAAACCTTGTACAAACTTGTGAAATTAAAAAAAAATGATTTATTTCAAATAATATAAGAACTAGGATATGTCCTGACCCAAAACTTGTTTCAGTATCTCTCAAACTGGCAGACCGACAGACTGACAAAGTTGAGCCTTTTTGAACATTAATTAACAATAACAAATGAAAATCCTTTTTGTACTTTGATTAGCTAATTATTCAATAAAAAATAAATCAAAACTAATATTTTCTTTTGAAAGAGTCTATTCGAAGATACAATAAAATATGGACAACTCCATTGAAAAAAATACTTTGAAATGTGGCTAGAATTTGAGACGCCCTTTGTAGTGAATTCCACAATACATATCAATCCATAAATAATTTTTATAGATTATCGATTTTTTTTACAAAATAAAAAGATAATAATCAATTTTTATTTTATCACTCCATGGCATCCCCTACTCTGAGCCATAATGCAGCCGCGCTCTAACATAGTTCTGCCAGAGGTACCAGTCATGGTTCTGTATCTCATTCGCTGGTCGGCATGTCTGCTCATTTGGTCCTAGTCTATTGAGAATCCCTGATGTCTTCCTCTTCTTTATGGTACTCGCGGTCGTGCAAGGCTGCTCTCTCATTTGAAGCAAACAATCCATATATGTATGTATAGCTCAAAAATGATGAGATCTTTCATTTTGCCATATATTGATACTTCATAAAAGCTCGCCAGTTTCCCGAATGAACACATTCTCCAGGATATACGTTAGAACGAGTATTACACAGCTGAGACGTCATAGGGATTGTAAATGGCAGGATGGGTTGAATGGCGTCTGATTTGTGCGATTTGACAAATATGTACCTGTCAAGTTACAGGTCAAATCCCTTCAATAGCAGGTACCAGCAAGTCGGTTTTGTCATTTATACTAGGTATCATGATCAGCCGTGTATAACTGCTGATAGCATATTATATATTTGAAGGGCCATTTTACGTTCACTACTGCAATATCTACGTAATAACACAAAAGGAATGATTTCACAATAAATTGATAAATCTGGCCTCAAAAGGTCTTCATATGTCTTTAACTTGCCCATGAAGAAAAATAAACCAGAACGCCCATGTTCAAGGTACTGACCGCGATCATGAACCTCGATTCTTTTACAAGCCCTGTGGGAAACACGTCGAGAATATGAAAGGAGTGTTTATTAAAAATAGCAGTCGCGCAGTGTTAAAGGTCATTGTATACGTATATTATAATGAGTTTCTGTTTCACATAGAACCAAATGACAAAACGTCTTTTGAGATACAGAAAAGGCAAATGGCCTTAAAAAATTAAAAAAACATCTTTTCACAATTCTTTCTACACAGATAAGATGATATGCTGAACAAAAACTTGTCTGATAGTAGAGGTTTACAGATATTACGCGGAATTGAATATAGGCAGATACAAAATCTATACACAGAGTAACAAATCTTTTCCATGGAACACCAAAATTAATCTAGCATTCCTTCATAAGATTGTTCATAGAACTGTAACACCTTACGTTTTACTGCCGGTACACACGGGCGACAAGTTGTCGAGCTGCAAAAAAACGCGTGTTTAGCAGTGCATTAATGTAGATTGGAAAAGTTCACACTATCGACGTGTCATGCAAAATGCTCATCAGGACGTCGAACGCGGTCTGGGTGAACAGCAATTAGTCGCGCGGTTAAAACGCGTTTGTTTGCTCGACAAGTTATCGCCCGTGTGTAGAAGCAGCTAGTTTTCATATGGCACATTAACCACGACAAATATCTGATAGGAGGGCCATTCTTAAAGTAAAAACCGTTTGCACATCGTACCTTCGTATCTTGTCACGTGAAGTCCGTTACCATGTCACTCTTGGCCAGTCTCTCACTATGCCGCCGTTACGTTTTACGCCTCTGTCGGAATTAGTTTTCTGATTCACTGCTTTGTTTGCCACCAAGTTAATCAGTTAACAAGTTCGACCTGCTGAAATTCACGAGCAGCTTGTTGAAGTTGTTATTGAAGCTTATGAGCACTATCCAAAACCGCGAGTGGGACGTGCTCCTTAGCCTCGTCAGCCTGCTACACGGCAACGCTCGACCTCACGTTGCGGGACAAAACACAGACGCAACTCGACACGTTTCGTTGGAGTTGGGAATCACTGGATCATCCAGTACGCAGCCCTAACTTAGCACCATCAGACAGACAGACCTTTTTCCAAAAATTAGGGAACTTCTTGGTGGAAAACGCTTGAACAGTAATGATATGTTGAAAGAAACAGTTACTAACTGGTCAAGCGACAGCGTTACTTGACGACGGGATACAAAAACTGATGCCACGACTTGACAGATGTTAAATATTTATGTTGACTATGTTGAAAGGTGAAAAATGTTCATATTTCAAATTGTGATATAATTTACTTTCATAAATAAAGCTTCTCTGGCTATATTTCTGAATGGCTCTTACTTAAAAAAAGACCCTAGTATGTGAAATCCTTTCCTGTTAAGTGGTAGTATGAAGTATTGAAGTATTGTTCCAATTTAGAGCCGAATTAGAGCATACAGCGAGATCTGGCGTATCCAAGTCTAAAATAAGGTAAGTTATAACTATTTTCTGCAGACAGAATTGGCGGTAAACATGTCGCGATAAGAGTGCACTATCTTGTATAATTCAAATATATTGAAACAAGTACAAAAGTATGGTCTTTAGAACTAGGATTTAATACAAGAAATAGTGTCCATTGTAAATTTGGTGCTTACGAGTCAATCTTGGAATTTTGTCTGCTGCTACCTTCAGTATAAAAAACCTACACTTTCGACTTCAATCAAAATTATGGAAGTAAGAGTAAATTGTAAAAAAAGATTGGAAAAGGTATACGCTTAGACCATAATGATAGACGGTATGAATATACGATCTACCCTATCACTACTAACTATAATCTTATTACAGATTTTTAGAACTATTATAATTTTGAAAGAACGTGACCCTGAAGTATATGAGACTATGAGAGTAATGAAGTCATAAAAAGAGCATGCCTCAGTCAACAAATTACGGTGAATTATGGTATAATTTTTGTTGTCTATTCTACAGGTATAAGCTCTACCATTTGTTATAAATACGAAATTTGCTATGTAAAACAGGTAATTCATCAGTTGCGCTTATTATTCTATACCGTTATAATAGACGTTCTGATCATGTCCAAAGCGGTTCCAATAAATGAATATTTGTCAATAGGAATTAACTTAAATTATTGTTTAGCAACCATAAAATTTTGTAATTATTATTTGAATAATAATACAGATTATCTTTCCTGTAAAATTATAAAGCAGATGCATTTTAAACAACAATTTTCATTACCTAGACTGACGATATGCTGAACTACTGCTCACTATACTGTATAACACCTCAGTAGAGATTCCTTTGTAAGCCGAGATTGGAAGCAAAAATGCAATTAAGCACATGGGTGTGTGATTCGACAAAAATCTGAAAATGACTGAACACATAAACGTATTCCTGATAAGGTAAATAGTCGTTTCATCCCTGATACGACTAACGTCATCTGATGGAAGCCCCAGTAGCGAGAGCCGTAAGATTTTAAGTTGATTATGGTGTATATTATGACAAGGCCATCAGGAAAGAGAAATATAGGCAACTCTCAAGCCAGTCAAAAGTAGTGCTTCGCGTAGCGTGTGCTTACAGAACGGTGTCAAACGAGGCACTGCTGGTGGTGGCTGGTATCCCGCCAACTGATTTGCTGGCTGAGAAGAGATGCGCAATATGTAAAAAAGCTACCTGGATAGGGTAGGAAAAGAGAGAGTGCACGAACTACATATATTGCAACTTAGAAGATGATACTTTTAATCATCTTCTTGCATGTGCAATATTAGTTGACTACCAGTGACAGGTGGAGTTGACGCTTGGCGAGAGGCTTCTTGCTGACAAGATAGATCAAGGAACCATTAATAGGATTCCACTTGCCGCTGTATGCACTTACATAAGTATACCTATATGCATATGCACGTCGCTAAAAATAAGGTAACCTTTGGAGGAAAGACTTGGCGCAATGCTGCCCATCATGATGAAATACTGCAAGCCGAACGGTGGTATGCCGCATTTTTGGAGAATCTCAAACTTCGGACAGAAAAGGTCTATAGGGCAACACTGTCGAGCTTTTCTGCTTGAGACTGGCTATAAAAAACTTTCCGCCCACAAATTAATCGTCAAACGTGATACGTCAGACGTCGCTTTTCTTCGCTTCACTGTCACATACTCGTATATCTATGTGTAAAGTAACCTAGCTGAAGCTTCGCTTCTCATTTCTTTGATTCCCATCCCTACAAAGGGCGTGCACCTTGATAAAAACATCTGTTGCTGCAATAATTCCACTGATTCGAGAACATTTTTTGAGAAACAAGTAAAAAATGGCATTACCATCACATGGACTTAGGTAAAAGCAACATGTATTGCTACTGCAACCACCTATGGTTGCATGAATAGCTATTTCATGCCCAGTAGTTTTTGCATCGATAATTATCTCAGAGTTAAGAGATTTATCTTGAACGCATCTGTACTTTCTAACATATTTGCTAATACTGTATTTCCCATAAATATGTAGTAAGAATCTGCTGAGCAAGTACCATGACGTAAAACACACTTGCAGCAGGTATCTGAATGAATCACTTTCTCTCGAATAACGTTGCTTCATCATTTATCAGCTTCCAATAGAAACGCATACAGATTTGCTATTAGAAAATCTCTTGCGACATTTCAACATTCCATCAATATTGCGTGTAGCGAACGGCAAATTTTTGCATTTAATACTGGATATCGAAGTAGGAAATGAGATAAGGTCTACCGGAAAGTCCTGTTTGTTTCGATATCAATAATTTTCAACAGGTACGGGCATCTTTATTTGACGGATATCTGGCTCACTCTTTCTAATGAATATACACATGCTGGTCCTGTAAATAAACTATACCGAAAACCATTCATGTGATAGTGATTTCAAGGCAACTGATGAGTTTCGTTCACGCCACTCTACTATGTACGAATTCTAAAAGGAAATAATTACCACGGCACCATATATAAATTTATGTTTAATGATTAATTTAAGTAATTGAATATGCAGCAGATACTGAAAAATGCCTGACATTCTTTGACAGACGATGATACTGTCAAGAACATGATAAAGCAAAATACGTTTTTGACTACAGGGATCGTGGAGAGGTTCGACTCAGCTGAACAAACTATTCTGGACAATATTTGGAAATTACGGCTAGCGTGAACATAAATTAGAAATGGATGCACATGAGTTACGTGAGAAGAGCTTGAATTTATGACAGGCACGTATCGATATCCAACAAACACTAGAATAACGTTTCGCCCATAGAGATAAAAATAAACATTGAATATAAAAATGGCCAAAAGGTAAAAAAAAACATTTCTCCCATTAATATTATGAAAGGTTTCTTTTTTATACTTTCCATACATCGCTGTACACGAAAAAGCACCGATTATTAAGTGATAATAAAAATAATCAGAAATTATATACGGGCTTTTCTAAAATAAACAACTTGCAACAAAACCGTGGTTAAAACCAACGCGTTCAAGCGATTCGAGCAACTGACATCATCAACCAGTGTGTCATCTTGAACCATATTATAACCGCAGTACATAACACAGAAATTTTGGTTATTCGCTTGGATTTTTATGATAAAAGTATAGTGCTGGACACATATCAAGTAAAAGTATTGATGAGCCTGAGATAATTTCATAATACCACCGTCTGCTCAACGTCAAAACGTGTAGTAGTTGTGAACTTTTTATTTATAGTTGTAGTTCTTCTTCTGAGATAAGCTTTCCTATAACTTCTTTTAAACCGCTCTTTTTTACAGTATATTATCACTTTGTCACATATCAAAAAGCTTGATACACTGAAAATGCAGCTTCTGGCTGACACTGAGTGATAGTTACCCTTCTATGAACGGATACATGTCACCTAGCATCGTTGAAAACACGACTCGATCAGAGATATCCTTGTACTATGCATCATTAACACATCAACAAATGCACTGTCAGAACTCACTTGATAACCATACTATAATTTCTGAAGTCCGAAGTGCCCCACTTTGAAAATGCTCGTAAGAGTTGCAATCTTTTCTTTCTTGAAATAAAATATTCAAGTCCTGACGTGACTGGGACAAGTTTTACTGGATACACATTGTTAGCATACCACATGAAGCTATTATCTGAAAAACCATCAAGTCAATCTACTCGTACGTATTTTACAGTTGATTTATGGCATATTTATGCTCATAACGCAGAGTATCTAAATGTATTTAGTTGATGTAAGTTTCGGTTATTTTATTGCGTCAGTTATTAGGCACATGTTGTGCTTATGAATCATTCTTATCTGGAACAATTTTCCCTCACATTATATTTATAAATAAATATTCACATGAAAGAAGGATAACAGCAAGCTATGTTATTTATGATATATATTGGTGGAATAATCATTTGTTTAAAGAACATCCATTGATCTCTCCTTGATTTATTGGAGGTGCAAATGAGATGAAACTATTCTGTACACATTCATTACCAGGAAAAATATGAATGCCTCCTAATATAATAGAAAACACCATATAAGCATGTTCTTGAATTAACGGGGCTCCTACAATCACGAGCACCATCTCCTGAGGTAACGGGGGGGTGAAAAGGAAACGAGGGTGGGCTGGCCCTAAACGGTCGTCGGCGCTACTTTAAAAGAGGAAAGGATGACTGCGGGTGCATACCAAGGTAAATTTTTATAATAACAGAGTCGGATTTCGATTAGCGATCTAGCCTGTAAATCGTTTCCTATTTTGGTACTTAGCAAGTGATCATTTTGTATTTTTCTCCCCTTGTTACCGATCGTCGATATTGTGTTATTGAATTGTTGTGTTGTACTCTTGTTGGTGTGATTGTTCTTGAGTGCCCTTTTTTATCAAGGTTGATAATGGACAATAAAAGGTCACATCCGACCATTTTAATTACGAATGCAGTGAGTTTAATTCATGATGAGATCAACAATAGTGCGGAGCAGTTCAACTCTATAATCGCAAAATACATTGGGGAGTAAGCGAATAAATTATTGCAAGAAGAGGTCATACCATGGAAGATGTGCTGCAGCTGTACTGAGCCACAATACCCAGCGGCCTGTCTATGTGGTCCAAATACATTTGCGTTCTAAGCTAAGTCCAACCTCGCTTATCGTTAAGATGGAACAAAGACTCAAACGCAAGAATCTTGAAAAGAAACTCAGGCCAAAAAAGCTGATATAAAAATAATTAATAATTCGGATAGCAATTCCAAAGAAAATGAATATTTTTATGGCGAATTCTGTCAAAAACCTGACATGAACGGCAGGTACCGATTTTTTCAAATCGTGAGCACATTATTCGTCGGATTTTCGTTACTTAAATTTCCTTTAATTACTGGGACCAGAAGCTTCTTAATAATAGAACGTTATTCATTGATATCAAAGATGCAACATTTAGAATCACCTTCCCCCAACCCCCACTTTTTAAGCAGTACAATTTTTTTAAGTCAATGAGGAACCCCTGTAACGTCAAAAACGGAGTTTCAGCAATTGTTACTTTTTCTTTTTTGCCTATAGCACCCTTGTCATTGGACTAAAACTACAAAGCTTTGGCATACTAGTAACCCCGTGTGGAAATTTCATAAAAATCCGAGCGGTAATTTCCAAGTTGATGATGAATGATATAGTCTTTCGTCATATGACTTAAAAAACATAACATCTCATTTTAGAAATTTTTCGCGATTACAATACTTCCTCGCCACTGGCGTGGGAAGTAAGACGGCTTTAAAATGAGTATCAGCGATCGCGATTATGAGTACCTATTTGCAGAACGACTTATCTATGCGATATTATTTGAAATAGGGCAACCAAATTATCTGAATACGTCCTTTCTTAGTTCGTATATTGCGCCGCAACGCTTGGGCTGGCAGCACGAAACAGTAGACTAAATTCGTCCAAAATACGATTTGTAGAGGTTTGCGCGCTTCGAAATTGACGCTTTATTTTTTGATATTTTTGAATGAAATTTTCATAGTGTGCTGAAAACAAAACCCCACAGGGTGCTATGGAGCCACTTTTTCATTTTTTCACTAGATTCTTTTTAAAAAAATCGCGAAGTTGAACAGAAAAGGTGCGCAGTTCAACCCATCATAAAACTTGTGCAAAAACAAAAATATAAAAAGTGCTCCTGTAGCACCCTATCTTCTGAACATACTGTATGAATTTCATTCAAAAATATTGAAAAATGTAAATGGCTTGAAACTCACTGCGTCGGAGCCGCCCTGATATTTTATGACTCAAATATAACGTGTTACTGTCGTTATAAGATTCAAATTCCGGATCAGACTGGTTCGTAATTTTACCTACAGCACAGAATATTTCGATTGCAACTTGTGTGGTCACTGAGCTTACTTGCTGTCACATTTTCTTAGTTCACGAGATTATCTTATATTGGTATCATGTTACTGAGATATCGAAATAAAATGGTTGAATCCACCGCTGTAGAATTTTTATGATTATCCATATGGACATATCAATAAATGTAATAGCGGTAATGATCTAGCTATGTATAAAATATGCAGATTAGTCGTAAAGAGCAGGGACTAAAATATTGATGGAAAACAACCGGCCATTGGCATTAGTAGATTGTTACTTCGTTGAGTAGTTGAATTTAAATCAATATAACTATACATACTATACGCATACAATTTACTAATTTCTCATTTGATCACTGGATTTTTCAGTAGTTTAGTAATTTTTGTACTAATGATCTCAAGATGGCAGCTTGGCGCCATTTTGGAACTCGGGCGTCATAAGGTCAACCTCATTTTTAAGCTCCTCTTTATAGTCCTAGGATACATTTACTATCTTTCGAAATCGTGGTGTGGTAAGCTGTAAGTTGAATGTTTTAGTACATTGAATCGACTAGTAATTTGTTTTTCCTGCGACCACAGACGGCCAACCATGGACAGCTGTTTCGTGTTATTTGGCAACTCCTCAGCATGGTATAGGCTTGGTCTCGGTGGACAACGAACGACAGCTGAGCCACTATATTCAGAGTATCAGGTTTATCGAAATAAGAGCATAAAGTGGCATCTGCTACCACAATCGAACACTGCAAAGTAAAAACAGCAAGCTGTCTGTTGGAGCTGTATCCCAGTTCGCATTGTCAGCCGGGTCACCACCGTGAGTCTGGTAATAGATACACATATACGATACATATATATTGAATTTCTTACAAACAATCATTAAAATGCTATAGCATTTTATATGAATCTTCTTCTTTTGGAAAGATCTATCCGAATATAGTTTCCAATACAAAAATTGTCAATCTCTGCCAAATATTGTAACGAAACCTTTTTAAAAACTACTGCATATTATTTTGAAGGAGGTAGTCAGTCTATTTGACTTTATTTCTGCTTGTAGGAGTCACTGGTTCTTAAGCCGCATTCACAATATCATAATGACGCAATTTCGTTGTACGGTACTAATAAAATTAAAAAGGTTTTACTTCTTAATGTAACAAAGAAGTAGTTATTTATTATGTTTGCCTGGGATATAAAACGAGGAGAATAATTCATCGTATACCATGAGGCAATTTTAAAAGCAACATAAATTCAGGAGTTTTTATATTAAAACCCCTCTTTGTGTCCGATTAATCTTCTGTTTCGTTAAAAATGAGCCGGCATTAGCGTTCCAACGTTCAAATACAACTCGTTATTTATTCGTTCTGCTGGAGCTTATCATTTTTAATATCGGGTACCATCATGGCGAAGCATGGGAAAGAGCACATAACATACATATCCTTAAATCGGTTTAGATGTCTTGTACAGTGCATGCATTACAGTGTTTGCAATTGCTTACTCAAAGAAAAGGGTCAAGTTACTTTTGATATTTTCGGTACACCTTTCTCTGATCAATAGGATCTTGCACACCTTTTATGAACACATTCTGAGAGTCAGACCGATCTCTATGACTTCTACAGGGGTTAATTTTTTCAGTTTCTACGCCACGTGAATTTTTCATAGTATTAGTATCACACGGACACAATTTTAAAACATCAATCTACTTAAAGGATATATTTTTTCGATTTAGAAATTAAAACTTCGTGGATCTCGATAACGGAGCGTTTTAGGGCCCATATTTATTATATGATTCAGAATCACGCTGTATGATATTAATAAAGTTTATTAATAAAGTCATAATGTTAACGAATAAAATCGAGAATGCCATTTATGACTCTAGAGGAGTAACAAATATAAAAATCCATCATGACTCCAACAAGCCAAAAACAGCCCCAAGAGTTTACAATGCACATTTTGAAGTCCGAATTTAAATATTTCAGACTGACAGCGATTTGAATTATGTATGCATGTATAGTCTGCGAAAATCAAAAGTTCGCCATTTGTTAGCCTACTAAGTAAAGCCTACAAATTGCTTTCAAATGAACTAAGCCTAGAATACGTTTCGGAGTCTTATAGGGAAGGGTTTAAGCTTTGATTTATGCACTTAGCAACCTTCCAGAAGTGGTGATGTTTTACCCAGACTATAAGCATTGAACCAGCTGTCTATTGTTAGGCTTTCCCAGTAATTAAATCGCTCGAATACAGTCAACTTAAGAAGAAAGTTACTGATGATCTTATATATCCAGAACGATCCGAGAAACCTGAATAAACTTTGTTCAGGACGAAAAAACGTTTAAGGTGTGAAATATTTAAATTCCAACTTCAAAATGATCATTATGAAGTTTTGGGGATGGTTTTGTTGGAGTAATGATGGTATTGTTCTCAGATATAATATGTTCATTGACACTGTCGAGTGACAACATGAACTCTCCTAACAGTATTGATATTAGTTGATAGGAAGCAGGCACTTTTGTCACGGTTGCCGTCTCTTGTCGCTGTCTGCTGTTCCTATTTGAATTCTTTTTTATGACGATACCATATGTTTCTACACACAATATGTTCGGAAACGAGCTAAAATTGAAGGCAAACAGCAGCGAGTCCTCAACCTCCAAAAGACACCCCAGAGTAAACAATATGATTCATTGCTTTACTTCAATTTTGTGCTATCTACATTTGCAAACAATTTTTGCCGGTGGTGGTAGCACGCTGCTAATATATTCCAGGGGAGCTGCACGAACATCAAAAGTTTCCAAAGTCGTTCGATAAATTCAAATGCTTTCCATTTTCCATAGGACGAAGCGACGGGGCTCTGGGATTGGAATTGAGGTTATGACAAACTTTCCAATGTATAAACACAATTTGTGAATTAAATTTTGTTTGGAACTGCGAGATGGGAGATATATGGAACTTTGCAAAAATCTCGATAAGTGGTTTTGAACAGGTATGGAAAAAACAGATTGGATAAGTTAGTCATGTGTTCAGATTTATAAAAAGATATTGCATTATAATGTGTTATATAAAATATGTAGCAATATGATACGCAATTTCATGTGGAGCGCCTCCCGGTTTTTTAGCGATGAAAGTCATTTTTTAAACAATGCAACCGTTTTTAACTATTACAGATAGGTTTTTATTGAAAGATACTGTGCAAAGCTTAGATCAAACGTTCATCGATATTTGTTTATGAAAATGGCTTTGTGAGATATCAACATAACAACAAAGTTTACATGTTGATATACTGATGGAACATCTAAATGGGGCTAAATTGCTATATTTGGAGCCAGTTAACCTCTTTAAGTCCATGTAGTAAAAAACTATCAACGTAAATAGTGGACTACCGTAATTTTGTATTTTGCTAATTTCTCTGCCTGTTCGAAGCAATCTTTATAGACATAGCAACTTTACTTACTATGGATTCCAAAGCATACCGCCGCCTAGGTTTCTTTGAAATCGTTCCAACGGTATTACCCGGTAATAGAAGCGACAAAGTACTAAAACTAGAACTAAAAATCGTTCTCAATTTCTCCGGGACTTATGTCTTAACTATAACTTCCAAGAACATCCTTTATATTAGTGAGACAAAGGACCATTTTTTGAAAATTCAGCTGATGAAATGCACTTACCTGATCACCCATGTCGTACCCGTTTGACTGAAAATTAGACTGTGGTATGCTCAACGATAAATCCACGTTTTCTGACCTCTGTAAAAGAAGAGAAAAAAAATTATTAAGATTGTAATGAATAAGAACCTTGTCTAAAAATATATCCTCACTTCAGTTAGTTAGTTAATTATTTCATCTCTAACTCAATTCTTACGTAAACGCGAGCATTTGGCACCAATCCGGTTGGATATGCAAATATTTAAAAATTGGTGGCCTAGAACACTATAAATGCTCTAGTTGCGGAGCGGATAAGGTTACAAATTTTTAGCCGCGGAACCTCACTAATAAAGTAACCAGATTTCTCAAGCATGCAAGTTGGCTGTCAATTTACTAATGCCATCAAACATGCATAGGTTAGTAATGAATTCAAGCGGTCACATGTTGAGTGACCGCTGTTGCCGGCGGTGGAGATTTTGGTACTTGCAGCGACAGCTCACCCAAATCATACCTATATCTAATCTTCCTGGATATCAATTAATGATTTTTCAATTTTTTACGTCTCTAGCATTGTGGTTCCAATGCGATTCTGACACACTGGGCAGACATTCACATTTAGATGAACCCAAAATGCCAAAGTCAGCTATAAACAAGTTAACTTTGAATGGGGTTCCTCAGCTTGAAAATGCGGTTATTGAAATATAACAGAAACAAAGCTGGTGCTGAAACAGATCCTCACGGAATACCTGCACTGGGTTGAAGGTACGGAGAGCCAAACCCGGCAACTAATACATATATCTTACAATAAGAGGGAACAACGGGTAGGTGCCTTCGTTCTCAGAAAGGCTTATAATTTTTAAAGCGATAACCAGATATGAGGATTGAGGATATTTGCATTGCATATTTGCTTATTGCTGTAAAAGCGCCAAGAGCTTTTGAGAAAGAAAGTTCGTCATTCAAATACATAGAGCATCTTTAGGATACTACGTTCTAAAGATTTTCGAGAAAGGTACCATAAGAGCAAACAGCTGGAAAAGCGTGCGTCGCAAATGTGTAAATTTTGCTTATTGCCTTTCAGTTATTTCCCAATAGAACTGGTAATTGTGTGTATCTCTACCATTACTAGCGCATAGATTACTGAAGGAGAATAGTGTAAAATTGCATTCAAATTAATTGCTACCTAGTCGGACAATCCAAAAACGTTCAACGTACGTTTACCATTCCAACAATCTCGGTCAGACCAGAAAAGGAGTACCTACTGCCACTTAGAAATTCTAACGAAGTATCTATCCCATTATAAATAGCGTACATCTGTAACCTGCCGTAAAAATGCATGTAACACGGCATCCCATGAATAAACACATCATTTAAATCAGTTTGGATGAATGAGTATTTAAATAATCTTCAGGAGTTGAATTACCACATTCGGTGCCGCTGAGGACCACTGTTTATGTGTAACTAGGCTGAGAAATAGCTTGAGGAGAAAGTTATTTATGCAAATGGTAGCCGACTATGACACTGGGGCAATTACAGACTAGGAAATGCGCTGTAAGAGGTCTCTTTCCGACAGGCAAACTGCATAGTTTGCTTCTGTGGGTATAGTCATCACCGCAGCGTGTAGCCAGAAAGAAAAGGTTTACATAATACCATACAAGTTAGTTCTTATCACAGTAGGTGGAAGAAGTTACTTGTCCTAATCTCCGTATTTTGGGATACAAGGCTCTATGTGCCCAATGATGCACTTTACTCATAAAGCAAGATGCATATTGAACATCTTGATTATTATATCTCCAAATCCGTTGATTAAGACAAATAACGTGGTTGTCATATAATGCTGTAGGTTTTACGAAAGGGTAGCTTTTGTAGGAAATGGATAGTAAATACTGTGAAACCTCATAGTTTGCGAAAAGTTCCGTCTCGTCATCATATAGATAAGTATTCAACGGCTAAACGTTGGAATCAGTAGAAAGTGTTAATTTACCTTTCTGACAGCGTTTGACGTCTGCTTTGACATTTATCAAACAATTTTGTTGGTGCATCCGGTAAAATAAACTCTGCTGTGGGTACCGGCAGGAATATTAAGCAAATAACATTTATACTGTCAAAAATCCTACATAAAATAGGTAGATAGGCAAGCAAAGTTAGCTTTGTCTTGAGATATGATAATGATCGGCGACTGACACTATCCGCACTTTTTCTGCTGAGATTGAGCAGGGAGCGATCCTTCTATCGGTGTTAAAGAATACTGTTCCCTGGAAGGTAATAGAAGCTCTCTCACTTTTTATCAATGATTCTACTCCCACGTTTTCAAAAATTGACCCAGACGGTAACGCATTGGAGGTAACTGATGGCACTTAATTGTGTTAATTGTTAAATGGAAAAAACTGGGTTTTGCTTGGAATATCTAGAAAGATTCCAAGCCAAAACCTTCCAACAAGAGTTTTCTGTTACATTCTGAACTATGCGCGACATCTATGTAGTAGGCTGTATGCATGGGTAAAAATCAATTGAGCTCTTTATTTTTGTATTGACAATGTGAACATGTAGTAGAATAACCTATTTGATGCCATTTTTACTCTAATATCAGAAAAGGAGTTTTTGTACTCGTAGTCCATATTTTGAGCGTTATAGCACCACTGACATTCGGTCAATTCTCAAAAACTTGTATTACGAGTACACAAAAATTGTCTTCAACTGTAGTTGCAACAACTTTAATCAGACAACCTCAAAACATATCTGTGCTATTTGAATATATTGCTTCATTCACATGTTTATTTACCCTAACTGCCACGTTATACGTTTACAATTTTGGCTGTTGTTCAATCAGGTATATTCGACTTCGAAACAACCATGTCCTACCATGCATACGTGCATTTTGTTTCACTCTCAACAAAGCATCAGACGAATCGCCAATTTCGACTAAATTGTGTCGTGCTCCTAAAAAAATGTCTATCTATTTGTTTTGCTCAGACACAAAGCAATTTTTTATAGTTCTTACTTCCCACGCTACTGGCGAGGACGTATTGCAACCGCGAAACATTTCGAAAATGAGATATTCTGCTTTTTTGATGTATGATATGTCGATCTGTCCGTCTGTCGGTCTGTCTGTCCGCTAATCCTTTGCCTGTCTATAGCTTGAGAAGTCCCGCACGAAGTTTTGACACAAGGTTATCATGCCAAGAATGAAAGAGCTTTATATTTTTTGAAAATCGATCCAAGGGCGGTGGAGCTACACGCAAAACACGAAAAAATAGAAATACTTATCGGTCAGACTATGACAAAATTAGAATCAACCAACTTGACGCCAGTTTTTTTTTAATAATGAACGATTTTTAAATGAATTTCAGTCTCAATCAATCCAATGATCTTTAGTTTAAGTCTTATGAAGTACCATAGGCATATTGAAGGTTTTAACAAGTTTGAATAGATATTTCCTCTGAACTCAATATAACTCAGTGGGAGCATCCTACTTGTCACCATTTTTTTGACTATCAGCTATTTATCTTATCACCGCTTTTCATGCATTCACGTAACGACATTTTACCTTTTCTGTTACTCCACTGAATAACATTTCTACCTTTGAAAGGTCTATCCGCGTTTCTATCTTAAGCTTAACCGATCCAATATGAAATATCGCCCGACCTTTGGGTCGTCTTTTGTTACCATTGCTGACATTTGCAACGACGACTGAGATTCGCAACACAAAAAGCTTGCTACATACATATATATATATATATATATATATATATATCTAACAATAAACTAGGTCGTAAGATTTTAGCATTTAACGATAGTCGAGTAAAACAAGTCATTAATGTGCTTTTTGTAGCGGAACTGACAGTGATTGTGCAAGAAAAAATAATATGCTCTGTTGAGCGTTTTTACTAGCATTGATTAAGGTATTCTAACTGAAGATAGACAACCTAATTCCAGGTCCACACAAAACCAACAAAACAGCAACGCAATGTTTTTCAACAATTAAGGAACAAATCGGCAACATTTCGTCAACAATTCGTGTTTTGTTTCTGGCAACTTTTGGCGTTGCCGTCGCATGTCGGTAAAGATCGAAAGGTTTCTGTTTTGTTTTCATTTCAGGCAACATTGTCGATTCGATGTGTACTTTGCTGCGAAACAAATTTAAACCAGAAACTAGTATCAAAAGCGACGGCGCTGTGTAGGGTGTTTAAAAATAAATACGCAGTATGTCGGATCAAAAATTAATGTGGAGTGTAGATAACACGAGTAAATTACATAATTGAACTATATAGTGAGTATCTTATATCTTAGTGTTACGGCCAAACGTTCAACTACTTTAATGGCATTGCTGAAATTGGTATTTTTTTTATAAATTTCAGAACCGATCAGCTGTATTAATTCTTCAAAGTTTTCACTGGACATTCTTAAAAAGTCCTCGAAACCAGAACGCATTTCTCTTCGCAATCCAATATCGGCTTTACGCAAATCGGACAATAATTTTTCAATACCACGATCATCTATTTCATGTAAGGATGATTTCCAGGTCACAACTCTGGAGAAACACATAAAGCAGACACTATGATAAAATCTTTCCGCTTCTGCCTTTCAACACAAAAACGCGACATATTTTCACTCTGAAAATTTTTGGTGTGAATTGCACGAAACAAAACAACTGAAAACTTTTGTCTCATGGCAATGTGGACATAAGTTTTGATTATGTTTTCTTTCCAAAAAGTTGCTCATCTGTTGTGTTTCTGTTTTGTTCCTTGTTTTCGTTTTATTGGTTTGATGTGGACCCGGCATAATGCATTTTCTCGCGACCAAAAAAGTATTCGAGATAAAATGATGTCATTTATGAGAATTTGTCACAGCTGTTTCTCTGTTCACAATATACACTTTGAAGATATTCGTGTCTCATAAGTAGCCTTGTAGCCTCCTATATGCTTGAATCTGCTCCTGTAGACATAGCCATCTATGAGACAGTAACCTTTTCAAAGTATATCTAGTAGATAGAGAAACAGTAGTGACAAATTCTCATAGATGGCGCGGCGGTATCTGATTTTATCCCGGATATGTTTTGGACGCAGGAATATAGCATTAGGTTGGTTATCTTGAGATTCAATACG